GAAGTCAAAAGCAAAATCATTGGCAAGCATTGGTGCTGGTGTACAACACATTAGTGCAGTATTACGAAGCTACAAGATGATTACAATATCTTTATTTAGTCTTCTGTTGGTAACTAAAAGGGCGAAGGAACTCACTTACTGTCCGATAATGTAAAACGAAATTGGAAACGTCGATCATGGACAGGAAGGCCAGGTTAAATTCCAGGCTTTGTGGGAAAGACATTGATAGTGAGGCTGAGTTTTGCGTCCCACATGAGAATTGCTTTAGATGACCAGACGTTTCTAAAAGCTGAATCGGATTTCCTTCTCCAGAGACAACCAGTTAGTCGGCCAAAGAAATGGGCATCCCAATTTGTCGCATTCAGTTTCAAATTTCGTTGCCCTTCATATGTTACCGAAGAAATCTCATACCTAGCCGTTATTATGTAGTAGTTTTGGTAGATTCGAGCAAAATCGTGAACGCACAGCTGTGTTACCAAATTTCAAAGGGGTTATTAAGAGCTTTCTTCGACTATACATAGTTACTTCCGTCTGCTAGGTTTTTACAACTGTATACTGCAGCTTACTGGAATTCCATGTCAAAATGCTGGGCGAGTTCTCTAGATCGATTATCAGCCATAACATCTGGATTATAAAATTCTTCTGGCTACGGGATCAGCATACCATACTTAACCGAAACGCACAAAATCTAGTCTGTACTGCAAAAATATCGCCTCCGATTGGCAATACATATATACATATACGTATAATAGCAGATATGCCTACACCGATCTGTCAGAGGACCAACTCGTCCGTCTATATTGCCATTAGAGCTCTCTCTCGAGCCTCAACCACGAGGCGGCTAGGATAAAGGCAGAAAGACATTACCGGCATTAAATCAGTTAGCCGATAAACGGTAAAATAACCAGCAGGATTTGTTGACGTCAATAAATTTCTTGACAGCTTCTCAACTGCATCCTGTCGTTGTATGAGTTTGATAACGAAGAGAACGTACAACAGTTGGAAATTTCACTGAATGATATGGTACACTAGCAAGGGTCATAGTTCAATGTAAATATTGATCAGATAAAGGACACTGCATTAAATCAACGTATAGGAAAGAAGGGGGTTGATATGAGTTAACGAAAATCACTTGGGGATTAAAACGAAGTGCCCAATTACCAGGGTAATTGGAGGTTGACCACATGGTCTAGCTACTTGCATAGGACGGGTTTCTCCCGCCGTATGTAGGCAGCTTCCAAATAGCGCAGGATTCGATTTGTTCGGGCCCAAACAGGTACTCGAGACGCTATTTTGGCGTCGACAGAATGATCGTTGCCTAGTAGATGCTTAGTAATAGAGGACCGTGGTATTCTATCTTTTCTGAAATTTTAAACCGTTGCATGTTCGCCTTGTTATCCTCCTCGTGCAGCAACAAGATGCAGTTGAGAAACTGTCAGGAAATTTATTGACGTCATTAAGTCCAACTGTGTACGCCTATTTTAAATTTTTACCGGGGAACAAATGCTTCAAACTTACTGGGAACTGGGAACAGTAGTTTAAGTAGTGCACCTCATATACCCCTAGTCTCAGCATTTTGTCCCACGGAAACGGTGATTAAGTTTGATGATCTAACGCTTACTTTTAGCCCAAACTCTAGCCTTAACACTAAGCCTTGGGCCAAAACAGAATGATGACTTAGTGGGAAATGAGCGGAACGAAATGGGGTTAAATTAAGTCTACCCAAATGACATGATTACTTGACACAAGGAGAGACTAAGTAGAGCCATGTACCCGATCGCAACCAATTTGCGGAGCCGTGATGACCACCTCGATGACTGGTATCTCGGTTCTGAAAAAGAGCTGAAATTTACGAAGAGTTCGGTACTGCATTTAAGGACTTGTTCAATTATAACTTCCTATGTTTAACTTTAACTGAACGTTTCGTCCATAAATACAGCCACTTGACGCAGTTTGACTGTTAAACCAAAGTATAAACATTCACAGTGAGACCTAATAAAAAAGAAGCATATACCACAAGATCTTCGGTCAGTTGAGTGGATGAGTTCTGATCGCAAACCTTCAGTCACATATCCCTATAATGGGGTGAACAAAATGCTCAACCAAACTTTTGGCGTTAGTTTTGCAATTTTAGTAATGTCTACCTATTTACAGATTGCCTAAAGGGAAGACCCATCTAGACTCAATAAAAGCTTGGGGAAAGGTAAAGATAGAGTAGACTTGGGACATTTTATTGATTACTTAAAACACCCTCTAGTCTGTGGAAGTCCACTTTTCACGTTTTCTCTCTTAGCGAGCGATTCTCGCACTGGACAATCCATATTGTTGTATATTTCACGAAGTAAGAGGCCTGCTAGAGGCTCCAGACAGAAGAGGAATAATAAATTTGCAAGTAATTTCATCCTGCAAATGCTCGAGGATGTGTCAGGTCAAGGTGCAATACATACTGTCTTTGTACGTAGTACGTACGTATTGTCGATTTTGTTAATAGTACACAAAGACAAAGTACATAATGTTAAAGTGACCTTTTGAAAATCGATAAATTTCCAGTCAGAAACAGAGGTGACAGGAAATGCTTACAAAATGCTTCCCTCAGCAAAGCATTGCGTTCGCCAGATACACGAATAATCTAAAAGGCATTTTGTTGGTCTGTTTGGAGAGTCTGTTGCCTCAGCGACCATTCAATCGGGCTAACGTAGTCAACCACTTACAAAGCAGGGCACTGACAGCCTTTTTGTCAGTGGCCAAGCCTTTCTAGGCGTCAGACACTTAGCCACTGGGTGACGGTGCGAAGTATCGTCCGTACATTCATATATACTATAAAACTCCGTCTGTTGTAATAGGTACAAGCAGGAGATTGTGACCCGATTTGACGACTGATAAAGCTAACAAACCAATTGTCTGTTGCTGTTTTACCTGCAAACGGTAAATGCTATTGTACATAAATTTTGACCAGTGTATACGGCTGTCCAGACTTTGCAACCGATGGACTTTTTCATCAGCTTGAATAAGTAAATCGGTTAAGCCGGCATGCTGGTAATTTGAATTTCTGTAGGTCAAGTGGGGAACTTATTACAACGTACATTTGCTGCAATATGAAATTTTGTTAAAACTACAAAAAAAAACAACTAAGTGGATCTTCTGCCGTTGTAGATTCCGGAGGCTGAGAGAGTAGCTAACGGTATATAGCACAACAAGTTAACAAGCTGGTTAATAGTTGGTACCGGAGCAATCGTTTGCCCCTACGGCTTTGCATGCATTCTTCTTTAATTCCGGTGAAAAATCACTTGTCCAACGGACACGATCAGTCAGACTGTTGAAGAGCTTTTGGATCAGCCAAGATCTCCAAGCTCAAGTGCATACTATGCCACAGCCATTTTGACGTTTTTTCGTCGAATATCATAGTTGTGAGCAGACACTGTAATTTACAGGCTCGTACGCCAACGCTGCTATCAGACCAGCTTTGATCAACCGAAAATTAAATGCAGAATAGTCCCCTGATACTTTTTGAAGCAGCAACCAGAACTCTCAATACTAAAACAGACTTTGAGAAGGTCCAAGCTGGCATAACTGCATGTAAGGGGGGATATGTGGAAACAACTTTTTCCTCGGTAACGGACTAGCTGAATTAAGTAACACAAGATTGGATGACTCGCAGTATTTCGTCACAGCAGGTTATCCTACCGGTTTCAGAGCACGGGGTTTTGAGAGCTTTATTCTGGACCACACATTATAGCAATCAACTGCCGCACTTACTCTAGTTCTGCTCCCGTTTGCTAATTAAGTATTTGAGCCCAGCATAAAAACGATTTAAAAATTTATGGTTTAAAGAACAATGGTAATTTCCAAGAGTTTCCCCTGAAAATTTATAAAAGATAGGACATAATTCACGGAATAACTGGAGAACAGGCGCGATGTAAATCGTAACAGTAGGTAGTAGCAGATCGACTGCATTTTTAACAGAATGAAGCAGAGAAGTACATATGTAATGCTACAAAGGACCCTTTAGGAACTAATTCGTTTTCAAAGGTAAGTATAATAAAAGTTCGAAAGGCTCATTAGTTATTGTGAAAAACTGGATTACAGTTGGTAGGAAATTGAAAACATCATAACTAAACATGCACGCCGTTAACATACATAAAGAACATTAACTTAACTAGGGTTTTCAAAGTCCTATAAATAAGATCACTATATGCCGAGAATTGTAACAAAAAACGATCATGCCGTGACCATCCATCATCTTGTACTAATGAGTTTATGGACAACTAAGTAATGATATCCATTTTACAGGTTTTCCGACATTTGGGGCCTACGGTGGAGTTGGAGTCAGATCCTTTACGCCAATGTTGCCGTTCATTGCTCCGACAACCTCAGCCGACCTGGCAGAACACCTGGCAAGCACGGTTGCCTTCAACGCAGCCCTCCTCCTACGAACATCGGGGGAGGCCACACCACCCGTGGCCTGCCTGAATACACCCCTAGACCTCAAATGTTCCCCTAGACAGGATCAGAAACCGTACC